ATCTTTAAAAAAAAAAAAAAAGTGGCTTGGCATCACTGCTGAGTTTTCAGTACATTTTTGTGCAAAAATTTCCAGTTCTTCTACCCTAGATGGATGGTTTTCCTCTGATTCTTCTTTCAATTCCAAATAATCTCATCTGGTCCAAGATCTTTTCGGAAAAACTTTTGTTTTTTTATTTGCTGGAACCGCAAACTTAAAAAAAAAAAACACACCCAAAAATGCACTGCAGTTTTCACGTTAAAGACAGCATATCTTCATTTTGTTCAGCTTCAAGTACAGATGAAGATTCCATTTCAAAGTTAGCTATATCAATATCAGTATTGTCGTGTCTGTAACCATTTGTTCTGAAAGCCTTTGTAACAGAGTAAAATTTAATCTTACCAACCAACCAACCAATTTGCAAACCACCGGTTGAAAAGAACAAAAAATGAACTGTAAAGCACTCAGGGAACTCTCTGAACAGTTTGGACAGTAGACACCAAGGAAAAGTGTTACTTTTGGGGGCGACAGCGCCATCCTATTTACGGTTTACAAGAGCCCTTGCCATGGTGGGCAAATTCCTTAGCTTTTGTGGCCTGTGTCTTCACCTACAAAGCGACAATACCTTTAGAGGTATTATAGTAATGCCTACACCTCATAGGACTGTTGCAAAAACCAAGTGAGAACCTCAAGGAGAGCGTTAGCGCAGTGCCCAGCACACGGTGAGAGCTCAATTAATGCAGGCTCAGGATTCGTGGGAGTCTTTCTTTGGGAAGACTGGGCCGGTCATCAAGTGCTAAGAACGTTAGCAGTTGTCTAATCCAACTACCTCACCCGCACAGGAATCCCCTTTCTGACTGACTACAAGGAAGTGAAAACACTCTGGGATAAAACGCCAACAGACAGAAATTTTAACTGTATGAGGAACATATTTTGAATGTGTTTGTAATTCTTTTGATATTATGCAGTCCGTCAGTCAATCAGCAAGTACATTTCCTAAGTGCCAGCGCTATGTGGGTAGTATTCAGGTCCCCAAGGAGGGAAGCTGAGCTCCTATCCTATAGAGTTCACCAAGATGAGAAGAAAAGAATGGCAAAATCTGAAAATACTGGGGCTGCGAAGAGATTGGCAGGGGCTGACGCATGATAAAATCCTAAAACTATAAGTTACCCGCAAAAGGAACTCCAGTCTTAGAATGATCAAACCAAGCTTTCTCTGATCCTGAGGGGACCCTTGCATGGTGAGTAAGTTATGAGAGACAAAGAAGACGTGAGAAATGCTGGAAATGAGCAGAAGGGAAAAGGCACTGTATAAGATCCTTCCTAAAACCCCCGAGGAATGAATGGAGCATTTCACCGGGTGCGGGAGGAGGAGGAGGAGGCCGGCCGCCTTACCTAGTTCGTCCGTGATGAGGAGCTTCCCTTGAATGGAGTTCCGGCACTGGTTGCTGGGCCGGCTGCTGTTGCCCAAGTTAAACTGCACTTTCCACAGAATGGGCTGCTCCCGCTCTTGAACCTGGAGGAGATTCCGGTCTCTCACTGCCCGCTCCTCCTGCAAAGAGACCGCAAACAGGAAGGTTTTCTACCAATGTTTCCTAGAAAGTACAGCAGCAGGACAGAAACGATATAGAACTTGCACAAGAGGAATCTGCACTCCCCTGGAATAAGCGAAGGCCGAGCCAAAGTCGCAAAATAAAATGCAAAATAAACCTGTAGGAAAAAGTAATAAATGAGCGCTATGCTTCAAAACTGGAGTACTTACACCAAGGCCCCTGGATTACATGCACATTATAAAGGTGTATAAAAGGGTTAATTTTGTGAAAAATATTGGAGGAAAAAAGTTTTGAACTTTTTCTTTCTGATGACAAATCATTTAAAATATTTTCTGATAGCAAAACAAATATATTGTGGAATACAATATAGAAGAAAAAACTTCGAAGAAATTTCACAACTGTCATTTCAGACAATACTCAGATGCATCTATAGTACAATTCACTTTCATTTGCAGTTACAAGTACTTCTATTTATGGGGATACAGAATTAGGAAGTTGATTTTGGGGGCAAGAAGCAGTATGTCAACTTGCAAATTTCTTCTATAAAAAAATACTGAGTATGTAATCCTTATAACACACCTTTCTTTACAAAAGACATTCTTGCCAGCCAGCCGTTTACCGAGATATGCAAAGTGAAGAGCTGCTCTAGAGGTAAGAGTTTAGACCTTTCCTCCTAGCCTCTAAGCTATGGTTGAGCCTTCAAAATTACCTTTCCTATACTGTACCATTAAGTAAACTAAGGAGGAAGGTACCCAAGTGCCAGAAAACAAGCCCCGCATGAGACGCCAGCTACCTTCTGAATTCTTCAACCTATTAGGGGGAGGAGGGGTTAGAACTACAAAAGACTCCCTCCTAAAGGCTTTTTATATTCTTTAAACATTCCACGATTTTAATAGAATTCCGTGGCTTTCACTGTTAAAAATGTTATTAACCAATGTTACCTCAATAAATTTAATTTAAAAATTAATTAATTTTAAAAAATGATCTGTCGTGTGTCACTGTTTAAGCAAAAGGGGCTAACCTTGAAAGCTTGATGGCAAAGGTTATATATTTTAAAATAATGGAAAGGGTCTTTACAGTTACTAGGGTTTCTTTACGAAAGCCCTGGATAGAGTTATCAATATCTAAAATGAACATATCCACACAGAATTTGGCCCAGCAAACACATTTCTGAGGCCCATCCAATAGAAAGTTCCAGCGGGAAAGGATCACCAGGGTGTTTACTGCAGCACTGTTTATGTGGTAGAAAAAAAACCCTGGAAACCCAACAACAGAGAAATAATTGAATAAACACTGGCGTATCTGTGGCTATTATAGCTATGGCTATTACCAAAAATTACCCAAGAAGCCTGGATATAACTGACGTGTATTTATCTAGAGTAGTAGTCCTTACACCTGACTTGCACATTAGGTTCTGTAGGGAACCTTAAAACAAATTCTGATTCCTGGGTCCAATTCCAGACTAAGTAAAAATCTCTGTAGATGGGACCTGGGAATCAGTATTTTTAAAAGCACCCAGGAGACTTTAATACAGACAGGGTTGTAGACCACTGGATGTCCACGGTACGTTAAGTGAAAAAAGCAAGCTACAAAATAACGTGCATATTGTCACACTGTATTATGATAATTATAATATATAACTATCACACTGTATTATAATTATAACATACACATACAGGTTTGTAAGAGATGAGATAAAGGTATAGAAATATATATTACAGACTATTAACATGGAAGGGACATAAGTGATTATTAACAGCTTTTATCATATTTCAAACATTTTCATTTTTAATTTAAAATAAACTGATAAAAACATTGTTAAAAATGATTACGAGTATCACTAACAATAGGAAACTAAGTGAGGGATCTATGGGAACTCGGTACTCTCCTTGAAACTGCTGTAAATCTGTAATTATTCCAAAATTAAAAATTAAAACAAAAAACATGATAACCAACATTAGAGACAAAAACTGCCCACCATCCCATCCCTTAAGTAAAGCTGCATCTATTTTTGCACACTAACTGCTAGCCTTTGACCCTTGCTTTTACACTTACAGATAAGGATGCTTTGCTTTCAGCGCCTCTTGACACTAATTGGATGGTAAACCATTCAAGTACCTACATCATCTTGAGAATCACATTTTCAGGGCTATATAAGAATCCATCATATTGATGTACTATCATTTAGTAAATATATCCTCTACAGATAAACATTTAGTCAATCCCAGGTTTTGTTTTAATCATAAATAGCACTTCAATAAAAATATAGAACTTTTGTTTATTGTCTTGAATAATTTGTGGCGGTTATTATGAAAAGTGGTCAGGGCTAAACAGTGCCAAATAACTTCCCCAAAGTTACATGTATCATTTGTAATATTACCAGCATTTACCTAACAGTGTTTACAATTTTACAATCACCACGCCAGGACTGGATTTTGTTCTTTAATTACTAGTGTAAAACAGTAACCTTCAAGGTGGCTTTCGTTTCTGTTCTGCTCCTTTTTTGTTTCTTTTAAAGGAAAGAACTGGCAGGAACAGTGTGGGTTACACAAAAACAACATCTGTATTCCGTGGTTGGCGCAAGAAGAGAAGCTAAGTGCAGACGCCTTGGGAACATGGGGCAAATCACTTAGGTGCATACCGCTTAACTACCTGAAAATTCATACTCCTCTGCTCTGCTGGGCCCTATCAGTTACCTGCGTAATCAAGCTACGTGCAAACTAAACGGAGCGTCAAACGCTACCCTAGATAGATTAATAGCCGTAAAGACTGTTCAGAGGCTGGTCAAAGTACAGCAAACTGAATCTCACAACAAGGTTTAAAGTGCTCTTAACATTACGCTGAACTATCTTGTTATTCTTTCCGAAAAAAAAAAAACACAAAAAAACCCAAGAGTTCATGGGTAAGTGTATCCCAGAAGGACCTCTTCCACATAATGACATTCGTGGTAAACAGGAAGGCAATTCTCCCTGCACTTGAACTTGTTTTCAAACATGAATATTCAAGACTTTGCCAAAAGGACTGAATAAGACTTGTGCAATCAAAAGAAGCTGTACAGGTGACTGGGTAAGGTGGCAAATGTAATGAATTAGCACGTGCTCGCTTGTGTGAAAGTCCCGTCTTGCAACGGGTGTGGTGAAGGGGCACTGCCGGGTTCCTTCATTGGACAGGTGGTTTCAGAGCTTTCCCAAACTGTTCCACCTACCCTATTATGTTGTCTCAATTTTAAGAATCTTCACATAGATGTACATATACATATTTTTTTCATTCAAAGGTATCAAGACCTTACAGTGCGTTAAGGAAAGAGAGACAAAGGTGGTCAGGTTCTCTCTTCTCCAAGAACCCCCAGCACAGTGGATAAAAAGGTATCAGAACTCAGTGCAGTCAACCACGACACATGTCCACAGGCTACACTGGGTTACAAAGAAAAGCGCAGGAACAAAAGGCGCTCAAGCAAACATGAGAACTTTCTTCATAAATTGTAAGGAGCTACAGAAATGTTTTTATTACTCATGTATGTTAACCTCTAATTTGAAAAGGTATATTAATAACTGTCCTGACTATTTTTCAGGGGTTATCATACGGACCAAAGGAAATAATGTCCCATGTAAGTTGGAAAGCATTTAACAGAAGGCACTGTCATTAAAAGATCTGCTTATGGTTCTCCAAAAAAAGAAGAAGAAAACAAAAGCAAAAAAAGGGATAAAGGCCAGAGGGCATCCAAAATGTCGAATATTTGGGGAATGGCTAAATGCAACCTAATCATGGAAAATTTTAGTTATAAAAATTTTACTTATAAAAAGCTCTTAAAGATGGGGGAAATGTATGTATGTATGTACGTATGTATGTGTGTGTGTGTATGTGTGTGTGTGTGTGTGTGTGTGTGTGTATATATATATATATATATATACATATAGTGAAGAAACCGTATGCCCCGGTTACATTTTTAAAATATGAAAAATGAAGGAAGAAAATATGCCCAGATATCATCAGTGAATCCCTCCAGTTGGTGAGATTACGGGTAATTGTTTTCCTCCTCAACCCTGCGTAGTACTTCACAAACTTTCTGAAAAATATATGTACCTTGGTGATCAGTGAAAAACAAAAAACAGATTTAGCAACTTTCTCTTATGATTTAGTCCACTTTAAACAGTATCTAACTTGGCACCAATTTACATACTTAATTACTAGGAAGCTGAAGATGTTAATGTATTTTCAAGGGGTTATGCAAATAGCCATGAGGCAGTCAGGAACTGCACACTTGAACAAGTCTGAGAACATTTGTTTACCTCTAAGGACCCTTCTGACTCCAAGACTGGGACTTCTGTAATCTCAGCTCATATGCCCCAGAGTTAGGCCCACCTTGCCACTCTATTACGCCATCTTTTTTTGTTTTCTTTGTGTTATAAATCATTAAATGAAATAACTTTGCTTATTTGCCATTTCTGCCCCTTACCCTCCAGCAGAATGCAGGCTCTTGGAGAGGACGGCCTCCCCTGCTTTGCCCCCCACTCTACCTCCACCACCTAGCAGAGAGTGCCTAGCACACAGCCAGTGTTCACTAAACATTTATTAAATCAATGTGCCCAAGTCACCTGGCACCTCTCACCATTCCCAATCCTCTCCCCCAATGGCATCCCCACCACTGTCACTAGTTTCGCCTGCACTCCCATCTCTACAATTTAAACTATCCCCCAAAGCATTAATTAACATGAAAACCACAAAAAGGGGGGAATTCAAAGCAGTAGAGGATAATCAACTATTCTCTAAGCAAAAATCCCCGCATATGCTCCATGAGTTCATAGTCTCAGTGAAGCAGAGCTCAGGATCATAGGGAGCGAGTGCTGAAGTTGTCCACAGCCTCAATTAATCCGAACCCCCTCCCCCATCCCCATGTGCCACACATTTTACAGATGAAGAACCTGAGACTAGGAGCAAACTCGCCTCAAGTCACCTAGGTCCTGAGTGGCAGACGACCAAAGCAGCAGCCCGAGCGCAAAGCACAAGCAGCACACTCAAATGCATACAGGAGAGCATCAGCAAGGATGAGCTCCAAGTTTTTGTCCCGAGGACCTTTTACACTCTTAAAAATTATTGAGGACCCCAATATGTGGGTTTATCAGAGTTATGGCTTGTGACATTTATCATACTGGAAATTAAGATAAATTCTTAAAATATTTGTTTTCAATAAATTATATATTCATTTAGCAATAACAATGAACCCATTCAACAGTGTGAGTGTGCGTGTGAGAAAAGAAATTTAACAAGAAGAGGAAATGTTTTCGCATTTCTGCAAATCTTTTAAATGTCTGGCTTCACGACAGCTGGATTCTCATAGCTCCCGCTGCATTCAAAGTGTTGCTGTACATGGTACAGGTTGGAGCTCACGAAGAAAATCTACCTGACACAGATAGGTAGTTGGAAATGGGAGGAATATCTTAATGGTTTTTCCAGATAAATATGGGTAATCTTCTTTGATACTACATTGAACGTGACAAGTATAGCCTCTGAGAAGTTCACTGCAAATGAAACGGTGCAACTACTTTCGAAAATAGTCCGGCAGTTCCTCAAAAAGTTAAACACAGAGTCACCATATGACCCATCAATTCCACTCCTAGGACCAAACCCAAGAGAACTGAAAACATATTTCCAAACAAAACGATGTTCACGGTAGCATTCTTCATAATAGCCAAAAGGTAGAAACAACCCAAGTGTTCATCAGCTGATGAATGGGAAAGCCAAATGTGGTAGATGCATACAATGGAATACTATTCGGACATAAAAATGAAGTACTAACACATACTATGTAACATGGAGGAACCTTGAAAACATTGGCCTCTACCTGAAAGAAGCCAGACAAGGAAGACCCCACATTGTCAAGTTCCACTCATATGAAATGTCCAAAACAGGCAAATCGTTAGAGACAGAAGGTTGACTAGAGGTTGCCAGTGGTTGCTGACTAGCAGGGATAGGGAAGTTACATAGCTGAAATGTTTCTCAGTGTTTCTTAGGCGGTGGGGGAGTTAGACCCAGGGAAAGGTGCAAAACAAAAATTTTGCCAACAGTTTTGGAGAAATCACAATCATCACCCCCCTTCTCGGGGGAAAAAAACAAACAAACCTCAATTATGGTCATAAATCACAGGTATTTTTTAAAAGACACAGTGCAATAAAAATTTTTTTTTAAATGAACAAGGTGCCCTGGAATACTGAAAATCTGGTTGCAGAGAAGGTCCCAGAGAAGACAGCGTCTGATTCAAGACATGAAAAAACTAGGAGCATGCCAGACTAAGAAAGGAAAAGTCATCCCAATGAAAAGACTCACTCATTTCTTTCAATATTTGAGTGCCCATGAAGTGCCTGGCAGAATTCGAGGGGCTGGGAGCCTATAAACAACGCAATTTTCTGTTCTCGAGAAAATTACATTCTAGAAGGGCGAGTGCGAGGAGACAGATAAACAAGTAAATGAACACGAAATGTTCAGCTCCTACCAGAGAAAATAACGCAGGTAGGTCTCTGGGCAAGGAATTGAAGTAATATAGACTGTGTCACCCAGGCTGGCCTGAGGCAGTAAACAGCCAAGCCCGACCTGAAGTGACAGAAAAGATGCACCACAATCCTGGAACAGAGTCTGGAGTTTATCTCAGGGCAGTAAGAACCCAAAAAAGAATTACGTACGGGAGAGCGCCGTGATTGACTTTTTAAGGACCATCACCCTACTGTTGGGTCTAGAGAATTGACTGTAGGGCAGAGAAGAAAGCATAGACCTGTTGGTGGGTGCTGCAGTGGTCTGTACAGGAGATGAAGACAGCCTGGCTTAGGGCGACAGCAGTGACAATCAGGAGACGTGAACAGATCAGGATACTCTGCGGAGGCAGGAGATATCAGAATCGGGGGTTTTCTGGACTGGGGGTTTTCTAGGCTGGAGGTGTGAATTGGGATCCCAAGAGCATACAGCTGGTGTTTAAACAATGCTGCCCGAGATCACCTGGATCAGGCTGGGAGGAAGGCGGACGGCCCCGAGTCCTGGCTCACTTACAACAGAGGTCCCCCAGACAGAGAAGGGACAACAACACGTGACCCTGAGAAGTTGTCTGCTTGGTGGCAGAATACACAAGTCCTGGAAGCACTGAGTGCACATGAATGTCGCCCCCACATCCCAGTTAATAAAAGAAGCTTTACAAACCCAAGCCTTCCCTATCTTGCCTTTTCACAGGTCCCCTGCCGACAGTCACTAGAGAACTAGGGTGACCATGTCGTTGATTTTTCTATCCATTGATACGTTTTATTTACAAACCTGACCCTAGAGAGTGAAAAGGGGGGTTTCTAATAACTGCATGGGACCTAACAGCATGCATACACCAGGCTTGTCCAAGGTACACCTTAACCGCTCAAGGTAGACGATACCACCGCTTTGCGTAACATTTCTCACCAAACCACCCTGTCTTCTCTCTCAAGTTCTCACATAGTAGAAAAACTAAGGGGGTGAGAAGAAAATTCCAGCCGACCAAGCTATGCCCAGAAAGGACACCTCGTGGGGGACGTCCCGCTGCGTCTCTCGGGTGGACCACTGAGCCCCCGAATTCAACAACGGTGGCCTCGCAGCTCGGCTGTGTACTGGCCCGACCATCTCTGCCTCCCGAGTCTCGCTTTCCCCGCTCTTACGAGGATCCCACGCCCCCCAAGACTGCAGCGAGGATGAAGTGAGACATACACGCCCCCCTCTTAGCCCGGGACCTGGCAGGCAGAAAGCACAGGTAGGGGCGGTAAGCGTAGTAACCACCACAGAGGAAGGGCCTACAGCTCGGGGTTCGAGTCCCAGCTCGGCCCCAGACTTAGCAGCGCCTTCTTGCCCGGGAAGCAACGAAACGGGCAGGTCCCTCCGCCCGTCCTCAGTCCCTGGACAGGAATGCCGCCTCTCCGGACACACGGGCAGCGCGGCGGCAGAGGCAACTCCTCCAAGGCGGGAGGAAGCCGGGCGGACGGGAGAGCTGCCCGGAGCAAACGCGGGAGGGCGAGCGGTCACTGACCTGCTTGAAGGTGCTGGTGAGGAAGTAGACGAGCGAGAGCCCGAAGACCAGGGCGAGCACCCACCTCTTCCGCAGGAGCCGGCGCCACACCATGGCCGCCAGGTTCACCATGCCGGCGCGGACGCGGGGCGCGGC